CAATTTGATTGGCCTAAAAAAAAAAAGATAGTGAAGAAATTAAAAATCTGAACAGAACTATAACTTAGTAAGGAAACTGAATGTATACTAACATTATATGTTAGAGTAAGAATCAGGAAGAATGACAATTGATTTAAGGCTTTAAATCATTTATCCACAGCTATCACTTTAAAAACTACTTTTGCTATATTTTTGTTAAAAATTAATACACATAAATTTTGTCTCATGTATCTTATATTTTACAATAAAAAACTAGAAAAAATATACATATTGAAAAAAGATCAAAACACATATAATACTTGAGAGAAAATTTTTCCTAGATCCACCACTTCCCAGAAATAAACCCACCTCAATAGTTTGGTACATACATTTCCAGGTTTCTATGTCTGTGTGCATACTAATACAGAAATTATTATTATTAACTCACAGAAGTGAGTCATACTTCATAATACATAGTATCCTGGATTTGTTACTTAAAAATATATTTTGTACTTAAAAAAAAAGATTTTATTTACTTTTAGAGAGAGGGGAAGGGAGGAAGGGAGGGAGAGAAACTTCAGTTTGAGAGAGATATACCGATCAGCTCTCTCACGCTCCCAACCAGGGACCTGGCCTGCACCCCAGGCATGTGCCCTGACTGGGAATCAAACCAGTGACCTTTTGGTTTGCGGGCTGGCACTCAATACAGTGAGCCACACCAGCCAGGGCTATTTTGTACATCTCTCCATATCTGTACAAAGAGATCTACTCATTTTTTTCTATGAGCCTTCACAGAATTTTAAAACCATCTTTCATAGAATTCCAGTGTGGACATACTATAACACTTAATCACTGTATTATTACAAATAATACTACAACAAATACACACACATACATCTTTGTGCACATATGTAGGTGTTTTAAAGAAACTCCTGGAAGTGGGACTTCTGGGTCAAAGTGCATAAATATTTAAAATTTAAAAGATGTGGCCAAACTGTTGCACTATCACTTTTAAAACCGTAATATCAACTTACTTTTGGCTCCAAAATGAAGCATTTTATACTGCATTTATATTTACTACACTGTTTTAGTGCCTCTGAGGTTTACTTAGTTGAATCAAGATTGTTATATTTAATTGAGTCTATCATGCCACTTTATATAAAACATCTCTTGATTTTAGATATGTTAACTAGGAGAAGCATCCTTTTTGTATTAGATGAAATATGGTTCTTAGCTGCCTTGGCAAACAAATGATTAACTGCTTATACCCAGAAAAAGCACTTTCTCAACAAGAGAAAAATAGCAAATCAAATGCTCACACTTAACTAAATTATACCGTTCCAAAAGTACATTTTTGCATAAGATATGAAACATTTGAGAGCAAACTTGCTAAAAACAGAGAATTATTCACATTAAACAAGGCTTTAGATGACCTACTTGAATAATTAATCATTACAGAGTCTTTTCTTCTCTGCCACAAGAATTTGTAGCATCAGACCACAGACCAAATCAAAGCATCCAACTATTTTCTAACATGAGAAATCCTGGCTCATATACCCATGTGAAAAGAAGATGTTCAGTTACTGTGTTAGCAAACCCTCTTATCAGTAAGAACAGCCTGCTCTGTCTTAACTGGATTCCACTCATTCACCAGTACACAATTCATCTTGATCTTTGATAAAGAAATCACTTCCGAAGGTTGGTCCCCAGACATAGCCGCCTTTAGCTGTCTCTGCCAGAAGTACCTAAGAGCTGGGTATCCTTTTCCAGCACTAATGTTTGAGCTGAATAAAGTGATACAAATACTCCTTTAAAGTCCTTTTTTTGCTTTTGTTTTGTTTGCAGTGGCTAATTGCTCAAAAGGTTAACATTAAAGGAGTTGTCAGAATGACAATCAGGCCCTGGCCAGGTAGCTCAGTTGGTTAGAGTCCCCCATAAACCAAGGTTGCTGATTCCATCTCTGGTCAGGGCACATACAAGAATCGACTAATGAATGCATAAATAAGTGAAATAACAAATTGATGTTTCTCTCTCTCTCAAATAAAAAAAAAGAAAAAGAATGACAATCAGATCACTGGCCATCTCAGGCATTGTGTATTTTCTACACTTGTGACCATAACATGTGTGAAGAAAGGTGCATCATACCTTGATCTGCAGGAAAAAGAGGCACCCAATGTGTGTATTTGACATGCCAGACCCTCTTGGCTAAGCACAGGAAGAAAAATCGGGTCAAATGATCTAAATTCTGAATAAACATTATCTCTTTCCAGTGAGTCTGAAACATGAAACTACGTCTATTTAGATTTTATTATGACTGGTTGAAATGTCATAGGTGTTAATAAGCCTCTACCAAATAAGAGAGAATTTTCCAGTCCTCCTTTTATCCCTCCGAGTTTCTCTCTCCCTCCCCCCAAGCTCCAAGGGCCCTTCTTTGCTGCAAGTTGTTACCTGAGCCCATTTCTTCTACAGCTCACTTCTGCTACCTCTATGCCTTTCTAAATGAACTTTCCCTTATAATTTGAAAAAGGAGACAGAGAGAATTTTCCCGTTGAACTTACATCAATATTAAGTCCTTTCTGTGCACCCATCACTTTACTCTGAATGCTTGTGATTTTCACTAAACATACCTATGTTCTAAAGCTATTTTTGCACGTGACTTGTAAATATAACCCTTCCTATGGCAAAGAGTGGCAATGAGGTAAAGTTCAATTCACATCAAATTCTGTAACTTAATTTGCTCTGCTTTTGCTACTACTGTTGGCTCTTTCTTATTCATGTAAGCCACAATTCTCAGAATGTACTGGGCTTTCCTTTGCTACTTGGTTGAAAAATGCAATTTTCACCAAAATTCATGCTTGCGTACTTCTTTCCTGTTCTCCCTCATGTCAGTATTGCAGTCCTCTCATAACTTCTGATTTCTTCAAGGTTTTTAAATAACCCTTTCTTCCCTAGTTTACCTCCTCTAGGCCTACATCTCACATCTACCCTAAAAAAGTCCCAGTGAGACAAATATTCAAAACCTGACTATTAAACCCTCTTCAATACCCTTGCACCCAACCAAGACACTGAACAGTCTACTAACCAGTACCTGATTCACAAACTATACTTTCTGATTATTTGGGGTATTTCCAACAAAAACTGGTATAAAGGACAGGGGCTAGACATCACAGCGGTTTTTACTACTGAATGTGCTCACTAAAGTCTTTTACTATGTGATCAGCTTGGACACAGGATGTAGAGTCATCTTTTGGTTCTTCACTAATCCTTTTTTATATGTTGTGAAAACAAACAAGAAAAAGACAGAAATGAAAAACAAAACACTCCTAAAAGGCCAGGGATGACAAGTGCAAAGTGGAACCCCCCTTCGATGCTGCTGCTGAACCTGGGCACCAGCCTCAAAAGGCCACACCGGGTACCCGGAAATCGGGCCTGGGGCTGGGCAACGAATAGGAGCTTCTGATATACTTCTCTACGTCCACCCTTACCTCCCACAAATCCATTCTGAATCAATAAGTACTTTTTAAAAAAAGACTTTATTAATTTATTTTTAGAAAGAGGGGAAGGGAGGAAGAAACTGAGAGGAACATCAGTGTGCGTTTGTCTCCTGCTACTGGGGACCTGGCCTACAACCCAGGCATGTGCCTTGACTGGGAATCGAACTGGCGACACTTTGGTTCACACTCAATCCACTGAGTCATACCAGCCAGAGCCCAATAACTACTTTTACTCCTTGCTTTCTCAAAGTTATCCATTTAGCACACAGAAAGACAGATACAGATACGCTGTGCCAGGCACTGGCATGCAGTAGCGGCAGAGCATGCAGTCTGCAGCTGGGATGAGCTACAATACAAATCTGATTATGTACTGCTCTGCTGAAAACCCTTCAGTGCTATGCAAGCCTCCTCAAGGTTCTGCCCCTGGTAGTCTTGCTAGCTTCACCTCCCACTTCCCTCTGGGTCCTTGCATTCTAGGTTCCAACCATAAGGAACTATTTTCAGGTCTACCATCTGATGCTATTTCCCTTTTACCTGAACAACTCTTGTCTGTCTGCCATGACTCAGTTTACAAGTCTTATTCTCTGAGAAAGCTTCCCCTGACCTCAAGACCAGGTGAGGTACTAGGGAAAATTTGGGTGTAGCATGCAACCTCTATCTATTTTTTTTGTTGACTGAACATGTCTCCATCCTTCCAGTGTGCACATAATGGCTGACACAGCTCTGTACCCATGTCCTTTACCTGGTTTTCTCTGAAGCAGTTTCTGAGAGAATGTAATATATGCCCTGTTGTACAATTCGAAATAAGGTTAGAGTAACCTTGGCTAGCACAAGTAAGTCAAAAATCTAGAGAAAGTAAACCCGCATCCCAGTCTGTCTTCTAGCACAATAAAGGTGCTACAGAGACTATTACGGGCAGCAGAAGGGCACGGGGTGGACTCACTGCACCATGTCCTCCTGAAGGTCTCTGATGTGCTTCTCTGCTCATCAGGCCTAGACAGGGCACGGCAAGACCATGCTCCCACTGCCAGCCACAGCATGTTGCCTTTTCCCTTCCACGGGTATGTTTTGGGTCAGAAGAAATAAAATTTTGAGACTTAATTTGAAATTGCATTGTGAGTTTTTGTTCCAGCTCCATCGGTTACGGGACTAATTAACAGCTCGGGCAAACATAGACGGACCTGCCCCTTCCAACAAAGTCCACTGAGCTCTCCCTACATACCCTATGGGATGCAAGCACTCTGCTCTCTTATGTATTCATTCATATTGCCTTTGTGCTTGTCTGGCTCCCCCTGTGCCCTTGGGCACAGAAATGTCTTATTTGCTACTGTATCCTCAGTGAATACTGAGTACCTACTACACCTGGCACATAATAGACATGCAATACATGACTGGTAAATGAATCAATCTAGACCTGTAAGTGCTTCAAACAAACAAAACAAAACAAACATTAGAAGCTCTCAGGACACACAGTTCATATTAAGTCAGTAAAAACTATTCTGCTGAAAATTTCTAGTTCCTTCTTACCTGATCGATATCGTTCATCCCTGGCTCCCCCAGATCGAGTTCGGTGGTACTTAGAAGGAGCGGAAGTTTGAGCTGCAGATGGAGCAGGTGTCTGGTTTCTATGTTCTTTCTGTGCTGCTGAATCAGTTTCTAAAAAAAGGAAGTTTAAAAGATTGTTATCTGATAACAATAACAGTTAACATTTTCTGAGCACTTCACATCATTCCTACAATACTCTGAGGCAGGTATTATTACCCCATCTACAGCAAAGAGTTAAAGAGTTGTTAAAGAGCGATGATACAAGACATCCAGGCTAAAAAATATTATCGTAGAGCCATAACTGTGAACAGGTGACAGTAGAGAAATAAAAAGATCTATGTAAAGGGAGAAGCCATTCTGGAGGCTCCAAGAAATGGTAGGATAGGATGCTGGGGCAGATATATGACCTCTGATCCTGCAAGTGGTAGAAGACTAATTTGGGGAGCTTCAGCCTCCGCAACATAAATTGTTCAAAATAAACACATCATTTAAGCAAAGTAGGGTGCTTACTGGGAAACACAGATTCAAGTCATATCTATTAGGCCCTGTTCCAACTGAAAACACCCCCGAAACCTGTCCTTTCTAGTCCCTGGTCTGTCCCCCAAGCTCTGCACTCCCAACACATACTATCTCCTAAAGAATATGGGGAAGAGAGGCATTCCCTCTTTGGAGCACACCCGTACTCTTCTCTCAGGCATGTACTTAAAAAAAAAAAATTCTGGGGGCCCCAGAGGACTTGTAACCAGGGAACAGTAGGCAACAAAACCACTGAAACTGTCTCCAAGGCCCTTGTTCTCCGACTTTTCGGTGAGCCAATAGCAGCCCCACCTAGGCTCTCAAGTCTTTTGCTGCTTCTGTCCTAAGCCTTCCTTGTTTCACTCCCCAGCTTTAACAAATGCGTGCTCTCACTCTGTGTGTAAAAAAAAAAAAACAGGTAAGATAAGCAGAAGAAAAACACCTTGAGTTCTGATATTTTGTAGCCTTTTTTCAAATGGTATTAGCTTGTAAGACTTAATTTTTTAAATATAGTAAGAACACTGAACATGACATGTATCCTTTGAACAATTTTTAAGTGCACTACATGGTCTCGTCAACTACAGGCACAGTGCTGCACGGCAGGTCCCTAGAACCTACTCATCTTGCATAACTAAAACTTTTGACCCATTAGGGTGGCAACTCCCCATTTCCTCCTCCCTCCAGCCATAGACAATCACCATTCTACCCTCTGCTTCTATGAGCACGACTATCTTAGATTCCTCATAGAAGTGGAATCACATAGTATTTGTTCTTCCGTGACTGGCTTATTTCACTCAGCATCAGAACCTCCAAGTTCAACCATTTTGTCACACACTGCAGGATTTCCTTCTTTTTTAAGGTATATTTTAAGTTTCTTTCATAGCGCTCAGCTGTGCCCAGCAAGGCAGTGTGCACACAGCAAATTAAGCGTCCACTCCAGTGGGATGTCGCCCAGCCAGCAACTGCACTGCTCCAGACCACAGCTGAGGATCAGCGGGCACAGAGGCCCAGGGAGGGCAACAGGCTTACACACCCCAACAAAGGCTTGAGGGCATTACTGTGCTACAGAAACTGGGACCTGTAACGCCCTGCCCTATTGTTTAAAAAAATGATTAGCATGCCCAGGAGGCCATGAGGTAGAGCTCTAGTGGACAGTCCCAGCTGAGCCCAGCCTTCCATCTGCTTCTGCTAAGGCACCGGATGTGTGTGTGAGTGAAGCCATCTTGGACCTTCCAGGTGAACCCACACACACCAGGTGAAAAGCACTTAGTGACCCCAACTACCACGAGGTGAAGCATAAAAATCACCCAACGGAGTCCTGACTCACAAAATCATGAGATATAATTCAAAGGCTTTTATTTTTTAAAGGTTATATTATTTTTTATACATTGTTTTTAAGAAGGCAAAGAGTATATTTTTAGGATGTTCCCCACAAAAGTATTTTTATAGATCTAGAAATGTTTGTTTTCAATGATTCCTGGTAACTGACATTTTTACTATAAAATATATTAACAGAACAAACTGTTTTAACACTGAGATTTTGAAAGGTAATGTCTGGGGTTGCAAACAGGTTTTTAATCAACCTAAATTCTCTGATAATCTATTTCACAGAAGAGCTTTACTGAAATGTTAATGCTTCATGCCTTGTTTCACTTGTTAGTTTCCGTACTCTAGAAATAGGAGTCGGCAAACTATAGTGTGTGTCTGTTTTTATAAATAGTTTGTTTGATCAGAACACAGCCCTGCTCATCTGTTTACACACTGCCTGTGGATGTTGTGACACTGCACAGGCAGAGCTGATTAGCTGCAACAGAGACTGCATGGTCCTCAAAGCCTAAAATATTTACTATCCGGCCCGTTACAGAAAGAGCTTGCCACCCCCAGCTTATAACAATAAAAGCTAACAGTTAAGTGTTCGCCTTGTGCTAGGCTCTGTGCATATAGAAGCACCTATTAAGAAGTTTTCACATTTTATTGCTCACAATAACCTAACAAAGTGAGCACTATCACTATCAACTTACTACAGAAAAAAATACAGAGATGAGTATTATCTTATCCAAAGTCACAGAGCCAGGGAATAACAGAGCCAAGATTCAAATCCAAGTCTGTCTAACCCCACCGGTTCTCAACCAGAAAAGGTTATTATAAAAAAAGTTTGTGAGCCCGGGTGGGTTTGGCTCAGTAAATTGTGTACCGGCCTGAGAACCAAAGGGTCACTGGTTCGATTCCCAGTCAGGACACAAGCCTGGGTTACTAGCCAGGTCCCCAGCTGGGGATGTACAAGATGCAACCACACATTGATGTTTCTTTCCCTCTCTCCCTTCCTTCCCCTCTCTCTCAAAATAAGTAAAATCTGTTTTTAAAAAAAAAAAAAAAAGATTGTGAAAACTCTCCCCATACTCTTAAAAGGAAAGTAACCAGAATTAATTATTTAGTTTGGGAATATCAAAATGCTTTAGGATTTAATCAGCAGCTAGACAATCATTTCTTTTTTTTTTCCTTTTTATTAAATTACTTGCCTTCACGTAAAAGATCCTGCAAAAAGCCCTCCCAATAGCTTTCAGCTATTAGAGAAATTATTTAAAACATTCCAATTGGGGTTGGGGGAGGTAGAAGAGAGTACAGGGAGGAATAAATGGTGACAGAAGGAGACTTTACTCAGAGTGGTGAGCACATAAAAATTTAAATAGAGAACAAAAAATAGAAAGGGGCTATTTTTATTTATATGGTCAGATGATATACACAGGAAGGAAATTCACATCAGCACACACGAGCTACTCTGACTGCAAATACACAGAGAGAACGGTCTGACTTAGCACCAGATTTAAAACACCAGCTTTGCATTACTTTCTGGTGGGCCATACTGAGTATATAACTAAATTACCTATCACCCATTATTTTTTTAATTCAATACACAGATTGGCTAGGATGGCTCAAACCATGCTGCTAAGAAATATGGTACTTCCAAATTAGGTGTTTATGAAAGGAATGAATATAGACTTGTGTTTGACGAAGGATGGACACAAATGGTTCATATAATTTTTTACTCTCCACTTAGGCTTTTACTTTTTACTTTTCAATGTAATTAATTAGGAGAAAGAAGATAATGTTGGCTAAAAAATAAAAATTGAAACAAATGATAGGGATTGACGGGAACTGGAAGCTGACACATTTGTTTGAGGAAGAATTACAGACTCTTGAACATTCCCACTCCTAGAGGTTGACATGGACAGAACCACAAAGAAATGTAACCTAAGTCCAGACACCTGATGAGAACTGACAGTCCAAGTTGGATGATATTTAGCCAAAGCAATCTACTGAACTGGTTAAAAAGCTCCACAACACAACACGCTGTTCACCAAGCAACATTAGAATGATGCTCTGCAACGTTTATCTCAGTTCTCTTAGGGATTCAGTCATCCAGGCAGACCAGGTCTCCTCTGGGTCTAAACTCATGACAAACATTTCCTTGTAGCTTGCCAGAAATGAAATTAAAAAATCAAATTGCAGTTTCAGTAATGGCTGACAAGTTTGTTCAGTGACCATTCCTCAGGTGCCCAAAACATAATGTCACAAAAATATGAATTTCTGACACAATAATCTTGATTCAATGTGATACACCCACTTCAAGTTCAAAAGAGCCTATCTAAAAGAGAAGTAAAGAGGAAACTGAATTCCTAGGAATTGAATCACTTTAATATAACAAAGGAGCATAATAATGAATCCCTGTAATCTTTCTGAATGTGAATAATAATTCTCCAATTTAATTTTGAATTTTTAAACTTTTATTACCATGTATTAGAGTTTACTTTTTTGCACATATGATTTACAAATATATCTTATTTTGCATTGAAAAAAAACTGAAGACAAATACAGTATAATGTTAATAGCAATTAGCTCTAGGTGATGGAATTTTGGATGGCATATATTTTTCCATGGGCTTTACTGGGTTTCTACAATTTAGAAACGTTCTCTATTTGGATTATAAAAATAATATATGTTCATTTTAGAACATCAAGTAAAAGTTAAAAGTAAAGAATAAAATTAAAATGATATTAAATTTTCTTAATTAGAAGGTCATATCACATACAGCAGATTCTTACCAAATAATTTATAAAAACATTCAGTTTTTGGCTTCCTAAATAAATTATGACACTATAAGCAGGATTTTTTTAAGTCAATTGTTTCCTTTTTCTTTCCCCAAAAGCAACTGGCAAATCAATGCATATTTGGAGATAAGAGGAAAAAACTATGCCCTGGCTGGATTAAAATCATTTTAGAAAGCTAACTCCCATCTCAGTTTATTTGCCAGGGCAAGTTTATCATGGAAGGGGCAGGAAACAATGCACCTTGGGTCTCATCAGAGAGAGAAGGGAGAGTCTGGGACACAGGAGCAGAGCGGAGTGTTATCTAACAGCATGTCCAGTGTCAGCTGGACAGGCAAGATGCCGCTTAAAGATGAATTATTCCCTGGCCAGGGTTTCACACTCCAGTGAGATCTCAGAAATTACCTGGGGCTCAAAAATAGAGATTTGTCTATTTCAAATAAGATGTATAAAAATAAGATGTATACAATTTCACAACCAAGTAATGTG